TTGTACAAAAGTTTAAAAAATATAACCTACAAAAGTTTTAAAATATAGCCTAATCTCATAGCAATTAGGAGTCGTGCAAAAACCGTACTTGTCCTCATTAAGGGGGAGTTATATGTATTAAATTTTTTGTATTTAAAAAGCTGAAATTAAGTGCTTTTCAAATACACCCATGTAGTTTTCAGCAATGTCTTTCTACTGTTTTTGAAATATCCCAGAAATTCGATAAAAGAAAGCACTGTAATATATAAATTCTCGGGGGTTGGAATTTTCCATGTGCTTTTTTAGGGAGTTTTATAAAAGCCACAAAAGATCACAATGGGGAAAGGAAGGTAAGATTTGGGAAATATGGGAACACGTGGTTTTTGCACGAACCCTTACAGCATATAAAATAATTGCAAAAGTATCATCAATGGATATAGCATAGATGTTATAATTTTTCCTACATTATTTAATTATGGAGCATTAAATAAATCTTAGCTTTTCTGCTGACAACTTTTATCCATTTTAATTAATTAAACTTAAATTCTTTTCCGCGGGATATTCGTAAAAACTTGTTCCATCTTTTTTTGATTTGTTTGATGTACAAAATGGCACAGAACAATGAACCATTTTAAATCAAACCTTTTAAAAATTCACCAATATCTTTATATAAAATAATTTTGAAATTTAATGGAATTTAAATTTTTTTTTAAATCTATCATAAGCACGTCTTTGCAACAGAATTACCGTTGATCACTTGATCGAATACTCCGGTCATCAGCGCTCCTAGTGAGGACTATGTGCAAACCGCCTCAGGAATCGACACACGTATTCAAAGCAAATGGCTAGGCTGTTCTTATTGTAGGCTGTGCTGGTAGCCTCGCTCCCGACTCCTTGGCCGTTTGGAGCCCAGCGTTGTCACGTGACGACCCTACCGGATTGGATCGTCGCGCGATGGTTGTTCCGTGTAGTTTAAAAATTTCTTATGTGTCGACAAAAAAATTTTTTTTATCCGGGAGCAGGCCGCGTGCCTGAAACCATTCTGCGGCAGCCCCGGAAGCGATACCGAAGCGTGCAAGCGACGCGAAGAGAGAGAGAGAAAAAAAGAAAGGAGGAAGAGCGCCGCGACGGTTCAAAGAAACAATTACCGACGAAAAACGATAATACCGAAGTGTGCCAACGTAACTACTGTGAGAGGCGAATTGCCCCTGTGATTAATTAACAATTTTATTAAATTAAGTTAAATTTTTGACGGAAAATATTCTCCGATTTTGGTGAGAAAATGCTAAAAGTTTATCCTTAATGAATGGGCCCTTTTTTTCTAATTTTACTTCTTTAGACACCTCTCTAGTAGAGGTGTCCTAAACACTTAGAATTATTTGGGGGAGACGAGTATATTAAGAACTATAAGCGAAAACTAATCGGATTACTTACCGACTGTGCACCGTGGAGGCCGCCATTGCTTAATCTTGTTCACATCGCGGAGTAGCACGTTGGACGCTTACAAATCGTGTCACGTGACCTCGGTTACGTCATCCAGTCACGTGAGCGGTGACGACGGAGCCAGGTGGTCACGTGACTACAGCTCTGACGCGTTTCCGGGCAACTATACCTTGCATCACGTGATAGAGTACAGTGCATTCGTTAATAGCGATCGTTTGTATATGTTACCGGCAAAGTTTGAAATCCGGCATTCTATAGAATGCCTAGGCATTGTATATAATGCCTAAAACTAGCCGGCAATCTATGAAACGATTTTTATTTTACAGATTTCCTAGGCATTCTATAGAATGCCAAATGAGAAACCGGCAAAGTATGAAATACATCTCCGTTTCGTTTCAAATATCATGTGGCAAGGCACGTGACTTTTAACGAGCGGCTCAGGCTTAGAATTTGTCAGTTGCACTTTGCGGTTTGTTCGGGAGTGTCAAAATACGCAATTTTACTTAAATTTGTTCAACAAAAAATTAGTTTTTTACTGTGGTCCATGAAAATGGAGGAGCAAGCTGTAGTGTTGGAGAAGGTGTCATGGTCTATAGACATGAAACAACGATTCGACGATGAACTGTGCAAAATTCGAGTTAATGCTGCAAAAAACAGTATTTTCTTAACCGAAACTACTTACCAGAAGTTAATAAATGATGTACAAAAAGCCAAAATGACTACTAAGAAGGAACCCAGGGACTATTGGTTGCTGAATCGCTATGATGTGATGATTGTAGAAAACAAAAGTAAACTCATTTATCCTGTTAAAGAAGGCGTCAGTACTATACAGTATTACGTCACGGACTCAGAGTTATTTCACGTACTTCATGAAGCTCATTTGGCTATTGGACACGGAGGACGTGATAGAATGTTGAAAGAACTTTCAATCAAATACAAAAATGTTACACGTCATGATATTGAACTGTACATCCACCTTTGTGAACCTTGCCAGAAAAAACAGAAAGGTATTAAAAAGGGCATTGTTGTGAAACCTATGATTTTTTCCGAATTTAATTCCCGTTGTCAAGTAGATCTTATTGACTTTCAGTCTCAGCCAGATAGAGAATACAAATTTATTATGGTGTACCAAGATCATCTCACAAAATTTGTGATTCTTAAGTCTCTAACGTCGAAAAGAGCTGAAGAAGTAGCCTACAACCTAGTGGACATATTCTCGTTGCTTGGAGCGCCGTCTATATTACAGTCTGACAATGGTAGGGAATTTGCGAATAATGTGGTGACCAGCTTGAAGGAGTTTTGGCCAGCACTGAAGATCGTCCATGGGAAGCCTCGCCATTCACAAAGCCAGGGTAGTGTCGAAAGAGCTAATCAAGATATCGAAAATATGCTCTGTACTTGGATGCAGGACAACAAATCTGACCGCTGGAGTGAAGGACTACGTTTCGTTCAATTTATGAAAAATAGAGCTTATCATTCTGGGATCAAAAGAACACCATACGAAGCTCTTTTTGGCTGCAAACCTAAAGTAGGGCTTTCTTTTCTACCAGAATTAAAAGACATAAATACAGAGGAGCAGCTAGAAAAAGTAATAGAAAGCGTCAAAACAATGGAAAAAGGTGAAACTAATCAGATTACGCAAGATGAGATTATAGTCGTTAGTGGAGTAAACCAACACGATGAAGACATGCTTACTGAAGAGATTTCCGTTTCTGATACCTGTTGTGTGTGTTTAAAGGAAACAAGTGATGCACTTGCATGCAAAAAATGTCGTCAAAAAATTCATACCTTCTGTGGCCATGCTAGTAAAGATGATGAAATGGATATTTTGTGCACCCTTTGTTTCAAAACTGAAAATGCTATTGAAGGTAAAATAAATTCTAAAATCAATCTGGAAATACAAGCCAAAAAATGAAAATAAATTCGGAAAAAAAATTTCCCACTGCTTCTTTGGGAACTACTGTGCGAGTTCCTATTCCTGACGTCGACAAGGGGCGAGGTGATTCGCGCAATATATTGGCAATTGTAATGAGTGTGACAGAGGATGGTTTCTACCGACTTGGAACTTCTGAAGGAATTTTAAAACAAGTATATGCGAGATCACAATTCACTCCATGCCCCAAGAACTTGCTTAGAATTGAAGATATTCCTGACCATGAAATTCCTCTCCGGTCAGTTGCAATTGCTCAGTCCAGTGGAAGCGGCCAAGGATTCGTCAAATGTATGTGTAAAACAAAGTGCCAAAATATGAAATGTCTTTGCGTGAAAAATGTAATGAAATGTAATTCAAAATGTCATTCAAGCCTACCATGTTGCAACAAGTAGGTTAATTGTAATTTTTTATATGAAAATTTTGTTTCCCTTAATAAGAAAGGCATAAATTTTGTTTTGTACAACTTTCATTTTTCTTTACGTATTTTGAATAAATTTTTTTAATGGCACTCTCATTATTTTTTCAGAATAACATTTGTATTTTTGAGGAATGCACGTCATTTATATAATAGCCTTATCAGAACCTTTTTTCATACTTTGCCTAAATAGCATTTGTCATTCTATAGAATGCCTAGGTATTATATACAATGCCTAGGGAAAGTATGTAATAATTCTCATATTTCATAGATTGCCTAAAAACGCCAGGCATTATATACAATGCCTAGGTATTCTATAAAATGCCAGCTTTTCATACTTTGCCGGTAACATATACATTGAGAACAACGGACAGAGAAAGAAAAAGATGGCGGCGTCCGTAATATCGACAGTAACGTGATGGCGGGGATCTATAATTTTAAAATATGCGTTTTTAGAGAGAAAATATTAAAAAAGTTCTAGTAATAACTATATACAAGATTTAGTAACAAATCAACAATACATTTATTCAAAGAAATTCAACAAGTATCAACACGACAAAACTCAAATCAATCTATTTCTAATTTAATTCTATTCCCCTTTGGAACTCGACAAAATTTCAGACTTAACTCATGTACAAAATTTCTTATGAATTAAAGATCCTAAACGTCACCTCAATATACTAGGAACCTTTTCCTTCCAATCTCAAGACTTTCTACTTTCGATCCACAAATTGAATAACTTCAAAATCGCCTAGGAACTATCTTTCTTATCGGACACCTCTTTCGTTCACTGCTACGAAGCTCACCAAAGCTCGTTGCTATCAGGAGATCACCTCGAACAATTTCACTTGAGATTCGCTTTTTATACGAGGTGACGTCACAATTCTGGGTGAGACACTCCCCTCATTTACATACTTATCTGTAAATTAAATTTTTCTCGTTTATCTGGCAGCTTATTTTTCGACGATACTACGCTAACCTTTTACATTATTCTTTCTGACAATTGTCGGGATGCTTTATTCTTTTAAGGTTTAGCGATTCCTAACTGGGTTCATCTGTCTTTTAATATTATTATTCAAGGTTTGTGTTTTTCTACATTCTTAAATTATAATGGCACGGAAACAAACGAGGTTTAATCTCCAATGGCTGGATCCAGCTATTCATACAGAATTCAATTTCTGGTTAGGAACTGTAAATGATGATGATACAAAAGCATTTTGCTGCATTTGTTGTAAAGTTTTCTCATTAAGTAATATGGGAAAGCGTGCATTAGTATCACATGCAAATAGTTCTAGTCATGTTGAAATAAAAAGATTGAAGTCGGAACAAACTTCACTGATAAGGTTTTTAACCCCAACAAATTCAAACTCTTCTGATAGTCAACAAAATGTGTGTGAAACGGCTTCTGTTGTGGAAGATAGATCTAAGATCACTAACGAACAGTCTCTCACCAAATCAACATTTCCTAGCAGCACATTGACACCTTTTGTGATAAAAGATGATGTAATAAAAGCAGAGATAACTTGGGCATTGGCAGTTGTAAAGAAAAAGATGTCACTCAATTCATGCTCTGATATTAAAAACATTTTCAAAAAAATGTTTCCTGACAGTGCTATAGCCATGCAATTTCAATTGGGTCCAGATAAAGCTTCCTATATAATAAATTATGGCCTAGCCCATTATTTCAGAGAAAAATTGATTAATGCTGTTACAAGTTGCGATAATATTACTATCTCCTTTGACGAATCACTAAACAAAGTTGCTCAAAGAACTCAAATGGATCTTGTGATAAAATACTGGGACGAGAGTAAAGATAAGGTTATGACCAGATATTTAAATAGTGTCTTTCTGGATCATAGTACAGCAGATGATCTTCTCTCTGCATTTCTCAATGGTCTTTCAGAAATTCATCTTGATCTAGCAAAAATTCTTCATATCTGTATGGACGGACCAAATGTAAACATAAGTTTTCTGAATAAATTAGAAGATCACATGGAGACACAGAACATTGGTAAATCATTTGTGAGAATGGGAACATGTGGTTTACATGTAGTCCATGGTGCTGTAAAAGCTGGTTTTAAAGTAGTAGATTGGAATTTGTTACCACTGCTACGGAATTTGTACTACTTGCTAAAAGACTCACCCACTCGGCGTGCCGAATACATTGCTATAAGTGGAAGCAGATTATTTCCCAAAAAGTTTGGTTCAACAAGGTGGTTGGAGAATGGTGAGTGCTTAGAACGTGCAGCAGTAGTTGTTGAATCTGTGAAGACATTTATAAACAACAGTACAAAGTTGAAAGACAGCAAGGTGGCTACATTCTTGAGACAGGCACTCAATGATCCTTTTATTAAAGTTAAACTTTTATTTTTTCGGTCTATATGTACACAAAGTGAGAGCTTTCTCACCCGATTTCAGAGCAACAAACCTCTTGCACCCTATCTTTATAAAGCAGTTGTTCAATTATTAATGAACCTGATGAGAAAGTTTGTGAAAAATGACAGGGTCACCGACAAGCAGTTTCTAAAAATAGATTTAAATGCTAATGAAAACTTGGTACCTCTGAAGAATTTGGATATTGGTTTTGGAGCAAAAAAGGTTTTAAAAGAATTGAAAGTAAGTGACAAAGATATTCTGTGTTTTCTAAGAGATTGTCGAAATGTGCTGAAAGTGATGACACAAAAGATTATTGAGAAGGGACCTGTCAAGTACAAATGTGTGAAAGCTTTGAGCAGCTTAGACCCAGAAATTATTAAAATGCAATCAAATGTTGGAAAATTGTATTTCAATGTTTTACTGGAGGTTCTACATGATACAAACAGGATTGATGAGAAATGTGCTGTCAAAGCAAAAGAACAGTATGATATACTCTGCAGTAAAGTGCCCATAAAACCCTATTCTACAAAGTTTGAGGACTTCATATCTGAAAGGAGTGATGATGATGGTCTGGACACATTTTATTGTGAAATTTTGAAGGATGATAGGCAACTGCAAGATCTATGGTCTATTATCAAAATTTCTCTTTCTTTCTCACATGGGAATGCAAGTGTTGAGAGTGGTTTCTCGGTTAACAAATCACTGTTGAGTGAAAATCTTAAGGAAGAAAGTTTAGTTGCTCAACGCTTAGTTTATGATGGGATCCATTTTGCAGGAGGTATTGATCAAATAAATATAGACCAGAAAATGTTGTTAACAGTCAGAGGATCTAGACAGCGATATATTGAATCTCTGCAACAGAAAAAAGATATTCAGAAGCAGCAGACATTGAGGGCTGAAGAAAAAAGAAAACTTACACAACAACTTAAGGATTTAAAACAACACAAGAAAATGTTAAGAAAAGATCACGAAAAGGAAGAAAAAGAGATTGAAATGAAAATAAATACACTTGAGGAGAAAAGGCTAAAACTACATTAATATAATAGTTTTTGTGTTTTGTGAATTGTAATTCATTTTTTATTTTCTAATTATCTGTATTTTGAAAAAAGAGGATTAATACTAAGAAGTTTCTCTGTATTTTGATTGTCCATTTTGTAAAAAAATAAAAAGATTTTACAATAAATTAGATGCATTTGTTAGAGAAGCTATAGTATAAACTTACACCTATTCCTCTTTATGTACAATCATTGATTTTTTTTACGTAGGAAAAATGCTTTATTTAAAAATTTTTAAATTTAACTTTTTGTTAAAATTATGTTGCTGTTTAAAAAAAGTTACTCTTTTTGTTGAAAGATTGGTTTTAAAATTATGTGTTTCTAAGTCAAGAGTTCATTTTAAGCACAGTACAGTACTATTTGTTTATCAAAGAATACTTTTTGTTGATTTTACGTTACCTTGTATTTACTAGATTTACATACAACTAATAATGATAAATGATGATAAAATAAAAAGCTTGTGTTTTGTTTGTAAATTGCTTATTTTTTCATTACATTGAAGTTGTGGATTCTATCGAACATTTTTCTACAGGATGTATGTACTGTATTTTTTTAATGTGACAGTCTTTGAAGCATATCAACTGTGCAAAAAGAGGGCTAGATGTAATCAATGTTCACAGTAAATGTTGCTTTATTATGTCGATATTCCACACTAAAAAAAGTGAGGGTCAGGAAATTTGGACAAAGTTGGTCAGGGAAAGTCAGAAAATTCAAAACAAAAATTTGAGTAGGAACCCTGTACATCACATGCGCGTTCCAAGGCTTGTTGCTATTTTTCACGCTTCTGTATGGCGTGAACAGGGGTGGAACGTTAACCCCATAATTTTTGTTCTAACAATTGATTATCTTTCTTCACGCTACGGACTGACTGTCGGGTTAAAGTTTTAATTTTAACATTGTTAGTTTGTTTTAGTGCTTCGTTACTCCAGTCCGTCATCGTGAGAAATTTTTTTTTTTTTTTTTAAATCCTCCCCAATTAAGCAAAATTCCTTTCCATCTCTAGGGATCCTTGGATTACAATTTGGTCAAAGACCATCTGAAAAAAAACTATATTCACCTATGGCTTCCTTCTCTATCTTTGAGCCCTCGGTTCCTTGTGAGACCAGCGAGTTGTCGGTAATCCACTCGTTGTATTGGTCGCAATCGTCGTTGTATGACTCCCGAAGGTCTTGTTCTGACGATGGGCGATGATATTGTTGCGTGATCCTCTATCGTTGCCCCTATCGGTTTCTGGTAGGGGTGTAGTAGTTTTCCTCTTCGGAAAAAGTGTGTATCGCTTCAGATTAGCGATATGTTNGTGCTGGTGAATGGCACATTATATTCCTCATTAGATGAGAAATGAAAGTTTAAACACTGTTTTTCACTTTGGGCTTTATAAGCCTGAAAATTTCTAGAATACATAATATTGCTGGATGAAGTAGAAAATGTTTCACCCAACGTATCAGCAATATCCTGTATATCACTGATTATTGTGCCATTATTTTCCAGCATGGACAGAGAATCAGAAGCATATTTAACATTAATTTTATGGATTTTATCCCAATCTGCTTTTGAGCTAGTGGAAGATGTTATGCTAGAAACATACTTCCTCCAAGAATCCCTTTGGCTTTGCCTTCTTATTCTTCTGGCATTTGCCTTTGCTTTTTTAAAAGCAATCAAATTACTAGCAGTGGGGTATCTTCTGAATATCCCCAATGCTTTCTTTTGTGCTTTAAATGCTGCCTCGCAATTCTGGTTCCACCATGGTTTTGGATGCTTTGGGTATCTTGTTGATGTCTTTCTATAAAGCTGTCATGAGAGAGAAAATCCTGTAAGAATAGATTGGATTATAGTTGGAACGAAAATGGGGAATGTTTTGCACTTTTTTTATTAACTCGGTAAATATTAGTGTGTTGAAAACCAAGGAATTTGAATAACGATTTTGGCTTTTTTTTCAATTGTTTCATTGCCTTTTGGGTCGTTTTACTAGGTTTTTAAAGGGCTTAATTATCCTGGTCCAGAACTAATATTTTGTATGTACAATAATAACGTGTTCAAGTAAATAAAGTAATATATGCAGGATAGTGTGTATTTTATACATAACAAATCTAAAATCAAAAGATAGAGAAAATTGAACGGTACATTTTTTATTTTCTATGGCAAAACACGTATGAGCCTATGAGCCATAAAATAATGAAAAACGAATTTAACAATAGAGGGTGGAGACAATGGAACATTACAAGCCTGGAGTACTCGCTTCAATTGTCAAAGATGAAAGTGAAGAAGATAAAGAGCAATGAAAACAACTAAACAGAAATAAACAAAGAAAAAATCAAACACTATATAAAGAATTGATACAAAACAAAACACGTGTAATGCCATCAAACACAAATCCAGCTAACCCTATAATGCCATTGAACAAAAATCCAGAAGATATGACATGACAAAATAGTTTAGTAGTAAAATAATTCCACGTCTTGTTAATACAAACAATTAATTGTGAAATCTCATTAATACTAACGATGCTCTCAATCAATGGTTCGCTGCTGTAACTGCAAAAAGGCGTTCATGTCAGTGATCCAATGCTCAAACGACAAGCATAAATTCTTGCTAGAAAGCTGAATTGCCATTGTATATCCTATTCTCAAACAGGTAAAAATAATCTCAGATCTCCTTTCACACACTATGTTGCGTGTCCAATTTTCTACTGAAGGTTTGATCTCATGTAGTTTATTGTGGACTTGTGAGTTCCACGTTTTGCCATTTCTCTGCAAGTTGTTTTTTTTTTAACTACTAAGTACACTGAATTACTGAAGATTTTTTCATTGGTTGATGTCGTCGTTAATGCGCAAGGATGTTTTGAATTTTTTTGATCCATTATTGAAAAATTTTCATTCACCACCCAGTGACCCCACCCACCATGGAGCCCAACAAGGGGATGCCGTCACATGGGAGACTCCCATAGACTATCACACCAGAGTTTCCCAGGAGCTATACCCTCACAATGCAGTCAAGAAGAGCACATCTTGTCTGACGTGTCTGCCTGGTCTGCATCGATCGGTTGACTCCAGGCCGAGGTCAAGAATGACTCAGCGACCATCCAATTGATTCAAACAGAGCCTGATTTAAGCATCCTGTTTATCCGAAGCAGGGGCCAAAGCAGTGTGTTGGAGACGATGTGTTGCTCCTCAATTATCAGGATCCCCTTTTCTGGCACACAGGCCACCACGCATGCAAACACGTGAGTGGGTGTTCAGATCCCAGGGATAGTTAAAGAAGAGTTACTAAACCATCTCTGGGAGGTCCCCTCACCACAGACAGGAACCCACAACAAGGGAAAAGGAGAAATCACTCAGTGTTCTTGTACCATGTTCTGTTTGGCTGTTATGTCTCTTATGTGTCTGTCTCCCTACCAAGGGAGTGATCACTGTGGAAATAGTTGTACATGCACTGTGAAATATTTTGGAAATAGATGTAAGTTTTCGTGGAAATATGGAAAATACTTTGGGAAATTAAAAATTAGTTGGAATTAAGTGTAAATATTTGAAAGAATACTTTTTTTATTTAGCTCACGTATTTGTTATCTCAGTTAAAATATATATCTATTAGCTCAAGCCTATTAGTTATTAATTAGCTTTTATTGCCTGCAATGTTATTTTGTTTGAATATATGAAAAAATCATGTATAATTGTAGAATTGTACATATTTAAATTTAACAAAATTAAAAATTAAATTTATACTCAAAATCAAAGAAAAAAATTTAAAATCATTAGAAATCTATAGAAACAATTGGAAATATTTCCATAAGTAAATATGCATTGTACGTTTTTTTTTGAGTGGTCACCCCCCCTTGCTCTCTATGTGTCTGTCTCTCTCTCTTATGTCTGTGTTTACATGGTTATTTTTACAGGCAGCTTACCTAAAAACAATGGACATTCAAGCACAAGAACTGGAACAGAAAAGAAGATTAGCACTAAATCAGGTTGTGCAGAATATAGAATCAACAGTAAATGGTTTGAAATCAGATATGTCCAGCATGAAAACAGATATATCAACATTAAAAATGGATATGACTCAGGTAAAAACAAATATAACTCAAATGAACATTAACATGATAGATTTAAAATCAGAAATACAGAATATAATTAAAGAAGTGGTGTCGGAATTGCTTAAAAAGGAAGTATCAAGCCAGCTTAAAGCTGTGTTTCTAGACATCGGAAATAGAATTTGTCACATGCAAGTGTCCGTTAGACACATGGCCCAACCGCAGATAGATGGTGCTAAACCTGGTCTACGGCACATGGTAGCTCTCCTTTGTCTACAAGCATTATGTGTCAGACCTCGTGCTAGAGTACACGTTAGTTAAGTGTCTCTTTGTTACTGCTAATAAAGTTTCCTGAGTCCCGGTAGTTCGACTTGACTTATTTTAAGGTGTTCAACATAACCCAACATTACATGGTGTCAGAATAAAACATTTTGTGCTGGTCGATCTTTACTGCCCGATATCGAATCATACGCTACCTTCTAATATGGATAGAGCACCACTAAAAGCCCCAGCAGAGTTAGTTGTAACCGATGGCAACATGTCTACCATGTGGAAACAGCGTTATGAATGGTTTGCGACAGCCACACAGCTATCATCGAAACCGCCTAATGTTCAAGCAGCGGTCCTCATGGCGGTCATGGGACAAGACGCAATGGTCATCTTCAATATCTTTTCGCTCACGGAGGAAGAGAAAACGGATCCACTAGTAATCCTTCAAAAGTTTGATGCATATTTCGCTCCCCAAGCAAATGAAACATATACCCACCAGTTGTTCAACAGGCAAGTACAGTCGGAAGGTGAGTCGTTTGACAAATTCTTGACAGACCTTAGAACCAAAATTCGGGAATGTAATTTTGGTATACAAGAGAACAGCCTCTTAAGAGACAAAATAGTGCAGGGAATACGCTCCGATACGATTAGAGAACAATTGCTCAGAGAACCTACTCTGATGCTGGATTGTCCTATTCAGATCTGTAGAGCCAGTGAATCAGCATCCATTCAACTGAGGGAGATGCAACCTAGAATGGAATTTGTGAACAGTGACATGAATTTGCTAAAATTTTCGAAAAGGATCTCAGCAACTCAGGCAAATAATGCAGCAAAACATTTGTGTTGGCAACACCGGCAGTGAGCCCATTAGTGGTAGTGCACAAAGAGGGCAGAATCCGCTTGTGCATGGATCCGTCAGATATTAATAAAGCCATCAAACGGCATCATTTTCCACTCAAAACAGTGGAAGACATAGCGGTGTG